AAAAAAAAAAAAAAAAAGAAAGAAATGTACAGTCCGAACACCATGTTTTAAAAACACTTGAAATAATTCTCTGGATTGTGTCACTAACTTTATATACCTCTAGGTTCATTTTTTTATTGCTTTATTTCTTAATAGTTTAATTTTGTTTTAATTATATAACACACTTACATAGTGCCAATGTCAAAACTGTCCATGAGGATAGATAGAGAAGTCTGTGTTATTTCTGCCCTCTTCCCCATTCCCTAGGGGTATTTTTTACTCATCCTTATCTTGTTTAATTTTCAAATTATGTAATTTATGTTGCTAAGCTGTTTTGGATAGTAAAAGGGCCAAAATCTTACTTTTAAACTTTTTGGTATCCTCAAATTTCTTTTTAATTGTCTTCTTTATGCCCCTGGATGCCACTCATTACCACCTTTCCCCACACCTCTGCCTAAAACTAAGGGAAACCCTGTTTGTGTTATAGCTTCAGAATGTCCTGAAATTTTATCCATCTTTTTTTTTTTTTTTTTGAGACAGAGTCTCACTATGTCACCGTCATTAGAGTGTGGTGGCATCACAGCTCAATGCAACCTCAAACTCCTGGGCTTAAGCAATTCTCTTACTTCAGTCCCACTACAGGCACCCACCACAACACTATTTTTTTGGTTGCAGTTGTCGTTGTTTAGCAGGACGGGGCCAGGTTCAAACCCTCCAGCTTTGGTGTATATGGCCAGTACCCTAACTGCTGAGCTATGGGCGCTGCCTATCCATCTACTTTTAACTATCAATACTAAGCATGGGAGGAAATTTACCACTTCTCTTTGCCATGAAACATAGCACAGTGACCCCAAGTGAAATCCCTCCATGTCAGCTCCTTAGTGTCCATGGTTGGCATGTCATCTTTGGCTTTAAAGTGCAAGGAACTTATTTGGTATAGTAGAAAGAGCTTTTGAAATTAGCAATTAGCAGGGCTAGTTCACATGTATTTCATGATCTGGCCATCTTTTCTGCAGTAGGAAAACAAAATAGGCAGATGCACACATCACTTTGCCTTCCTAAGCCATCTCTCAAACCACGTAGCTTTAAATTGGCTTTGGTTGGGATAGGGAAACAAACCAGATGATGATGAAACAGTGATGACTGCTAGGTGCCAATCCTCCTCACCAAAGAAAATGTTAGAAATGTGGGAAGCCAGTGGGGTTCAGAACAGCCCGAGCCGTGGAAGCAGTCCTACTGCCTCCCGTGTGTGCTGTCTTCCAGGTGCCTGTGCAGTCCTGGTTCGATGACATGACAGACACAGAGCTGCTGGACCTCATCCCCTTCTTTGAGGGCCTGAGCCGGGAGGACGACGTGTACAGCATGCTGCACAGACTCTGCAATAGGTAGCCCTGGCCTGGGCCCCCATCGTACCTGTGCACTCTGGAACTTCTGGCCTCAGGGGACCTGCCTGCCCTCAGCTCCCCAGGAGCCGAATGTGAGGATTCTCTATGCTCCAGGCCGTAGGGTGAATGTGGCCATGCCTACCTATTTTGTTTTTTAGAAACAGAAACAACTATTTTAAAAAGAACTATTTTAACAAATTTCATAAAGGGACATGCATTTTACTGGATTTGCTTTTCTTAAAACATACCAAAAAGAAAAAAATGGAAAAAAAAAAAAAAGCTTGATATCTATCAGACTTCCTTTCAACTGTCCTCCCCTCCAAGCAAAACCACCTGTCCCCTTCTGTTCCAGCTTGGAGCAGCTGACCCAACTCAGAATCTCTTTCCTACAGGATGAAGTGCCTTTTGAATGTTATTTTAAGCTGAGAGTTAATTTTTCTACATAATTCCAGACATCTTTTAGTCTTTTATTATCTTACTCTAAGAAAAACACAACAATTTTCTAGAACCTGGTAGCGTGTGTGTGGTGGGGGTGGTAGTGAGGGAGTGAGTCATAGGAGCCTGTCTCCCAGCAGGTGAGACTTTGCTCTCAGATGACCTGTGGCATGCTGCGGGGTCAGGCTCCTGATAGGAGCGTTTTATGACTATGTCATTATTTCCATGCATTTCTGACCCAGTTTGGAATGTATCTGCAATTGTGTGGGAAATAACAGATTCTTTTGTATTATTTCAGATGGTGACAAATTTGTTTTGAGGTTACATTTATCCCTTGAAAAGTGACATCATGTCACTTCTCTTTCATAGTACTGCCATACTTCTGTTTTTTGTTGTTGTTTTAGTAGAGCAGTTATAAGAAACTCTAAAACCCTTAGATATATTTTTTAAAAAATCTGTTTTATTGATTTTTAAATCTTTCCTTTCCAAAAGCTGGACACACATGGAGCTGTTTGGGAATTTTCTTTGCTGCTACCGCGCTGCCACCAAATGGAATTGACCAGCGGCTATTACACTGTTCTTTGCCACTGTGCCTATGATCAGAATATGCTCACTGCTAAGCTACAAACTTGGACAGGGTCAGAAACATAGATGCCCACCCCGTTTCAGACTGCACCAGTTGCATCCCTCCTTGGTGCTGGCCACTAATGTGTACAAAAGCAAAAAGGCCAAAGCACCACACAGGAGTGATATTAATTTTTTAAACTGCAGTCAACATCAGATCCTGCTTGACAAGCTGACTGTTCTCTCTTGAGAACATGTGGCCTCAACCAGCCACCAAGCTGATATGGCCCAAGTCCATCTCTTGGTCTCCTCCTTGAAGCACAGTCTGTTTCTGAGCCAAGGATTGGGGAAGCCTGTCTAGATGTAGGACTCCTAGCCCCAAACCAGCAAGAGGAAAGAATCTCTCCTCTGAGCATAGGGTCTCTTTGTAGCCTTTCCCAGTTTGGTGTTTAAGCAGTGCCATGTTCTTTGTTTGACAAGACAGTTGTAAAGTATTGCTCTTAAAAACAATTAAAGAGAACACTTTCATGTTGGCACCATTGCCTTAGTCCTCTGTGGATTGGTCCTCAGCCACAGTTCTGATGGGAGTGACTGGCACTTAGCAAGACTGGAACTTGGAGATCAGAGTAAAATTTCTTCTTCTTAACTTTCATTCACAAAATAATGAAACCAGCTGCCAATCATGTCCTCCCAGTAGCACTTTGGTCTGTGGACTGCTGTGCATTCAGAAGAGAAGTAGTTATTCAGGGGTAACCAGGTCTCCCAGCATTCTGAGTGTTCTGAACCCAGTAACCCCCATGCCAATTATTAATAAAATAGAAACAGCCCCTTGCTAGGCATCACCACAGATAATGACAGTTACATGGTAGAAACCTTTATTTGGAAAACCAGTCATTAAATGAACCCACTGCCTTAAATGTCTTGAATGTTGCAGTCAAGTGTCTGTCATGTCGACATCCACACAGAACCAAGCCCTGATGAGAGCCTTCGAACCTCACCTATGCCTCCTTCTTTGTTGGTATCACAGGGCCTTATTCGGAAGAGGGGACAGAGAGGATGGCAATTCTAAAATATTTCAGGGGAAATGAACCTAGGAATAGTGCTCCACTTCTGAGAGATGGAGTGAAGACACTTGGCAGGCTTGAGCCAGACACTTCACCTAGTAGTTCCTGAAACTGTGAGCACCAGTGCACTAATCCAGTGTGGGGCCGTTGGGAAGAGAGCCCAGTTCCTGCCACCACAGACACAGAATGTCTTGGGAGGGCCAGCAAGCCCTCTGAGGGTTCTGGAATCTGTGCACCTTATTTGACTACACTCCAAAATTCTGTTTTATTTTAACCCTTGAATCTGCTTTATGTACATAATCAAAATATCTATATCTATATATATTTTTAATCATCTACATGTAAATGAAGCAATAGAATTCTAACATAAGGCCAAGAAATGAGGTGAATGTTTGGGGTTTATGTTTTTAAGGTAAATACGGGTATTGTTTTTAATTATTACCTTTTATTCAACTGTGGGCTTTAAAACCTATTGAAACCTATTAGCTACTTCTCTGTGCCATATACTTCCCATGTTACCAAAATAACCCCAATTCTTCAGCCAAAAGAGAAGTCTGACCTCCTGAGTTTCCTTGGTCCTTCCTGTACCAGGTTAAAATGTATTCTTCTGGACAAGTGTTTTTTTACATTGAGATCCGGGGCAAGATGCCTTGTGTATGTGGACTCCAGCCCACTATGATGTTACGGCTTATCTGGCCAGGCCTCAAGTGGAGGTGCCCGGGCACTCCCGACATTGTTAATGTTCTGTCTTCCATTTGTTCTGGAATCCTATATGTTGTTCTGTGGTTTCATGCATTAGCTGTTTGTAAAAAAATTCACTTGTATACTAAAAAGCAGCACCACCTGTCACAGTTAATGGTCGGTGGGGAAGCTCCTATGATATGGTGCAATTTTGATGAGATGACTTCAGAGAAATGAGGATGCTCTAATGGCACTGACTTGTCATGATTGCAGCATTTGAACTTTTGAAATAAAAAGGAAATCTGTAAGTCTGTATATAACCTGGCAACATTTTCTAACCCTGTATTTTTTTAAATGGCTTTCTATTAAAATCTAGAACCACACAGCCCTATGGTCAAACACTCCTAACGTTTGTGCCTCTGCTTTTAAAGGTGCTGTGGTGGACAGCTGGCATGCCAGGGTTCAAGGACAGTGGGTGGCTTGAAGTACTTGCAGTTACCTGTGCAAAACTGGCTGGCTGCCTCTGTTCCTATTTTACTGTAAATTTGATCCTGTCTGTTCCTATTCCATTTTCCCAGGAGCTTCTCTGCAGTCTGACACTCCCCGGGTAATAGAGACGCTGGTGTCTGGGTAGTTGTGGGTTTCTGTTGGACATTTGAATGTGATAAACAATCTGGCATTACTTGGTCAATGCTACATGTGGAATGTGCACGTTTCCAGGGGCAAGTATTGTCAATCAAGAAGTTTGCAATGATCTCCTTCCTGCCAAAAATAAACATATGAAACTGCACTCCCTTGTGAATGGACTGTTTCTCGAGCTCCCTGTGTGTCCTCACACCAGCACCTTGGGTCTCCTGGTGTCCCTACTTCTGGAGAGCAGAGGTGGGTGGGTGCAGGACTTCAGGACCCCAGAAGCCACAGACCTTGACCCCTGGAGGATCTAGAAAACTATCCTGCCCACATTGCCTGTCTCCTAAAAGGTAACAGCTCTTCAGCACCCTGCCTTCCTCTCCCCATACAGAAACAGTATGGCTCACTGTCCCCCTGCAAAGATTCTAGCCCTACCAACAGGTTTAAAAATGCAGCCTAAGGGGACTGGACCTCACCACTCCACCCTGTAAGAGCCATAGGCATTGTGTGTGGTGCCTCACCCCTACTCATATCCATGGGTACACTGGCTGAGATGCTGTGATTAGCAGATGAAGCATGGGAAGGAATCAGAAGAAGTGTAAGGATGGAGCAGACAGTTTGCTCACAGAGAGACATTTTGTCAACAAAATGCCCCTCTTTACATGAAGATGAGAGGGCAGCAAGTCCTCTTCTGCTAGGGACTCCTGGCAAGGACTTGGACACAGTGTTACTACTCTCAGAACTCAGTGTCTTCATAATGGTATCTAATTGAGATAACAAAGAACACCAGCTTCAATAATCTGATCAGATAGGTCTTATCCCCATTGTGTGGATGAGAAAACTGAGGCCAGCAAGACAAAGCTCTGTAGAGTCTGCTGTACCATGAGTACAGGATTCTTCCAGGTATGCTTATTCATCCCACACAACTCAGGACACGGTATGTATATCAGCCCAGGAGACCAAATATTTACCCAACAGCAAAACCCCAAATGCCCCACAGCTAGTCTGTGCTGTGTCCCTCACAGTTCCTTCTCACAGTGGAGCAGCTGGCCAGCCAGAGAAGTCACTACAGCTTTCTCCCCTGGTTCTGGACACCTAGGCAGTGTCCACTCTGTTCCCTAGCCTCCTCCTTCCTTCCTCTCATCTTCTCTGGCATCAACCCCAAACTCTAGCTGCTTCCCACCTTTTCATAGAAGCAAACAGTTAAGTGGCTGAGAACTATGACATCCCCAAGGCTAAAGTATCCTCAAGCGTGTCCGCTGGTCCCCTAAATATGATGGGGAGGAAACAGGGCCTTACTTAGGACTTGGACATACTGAGATCGCTGGTTTGAGCACGAATCATCTCTGTATTATAGGACCCAGGAGTGGGCAGGAAGTCCAGGAGGTTGGGAAGCAATGTCTGGGAAAGCACATTAGCTGACTGTCTGTGGAACTTACACGTAAGGTATACTGTGGGCTTCTGGTAAGTCTCCAGTGCTATCATCCTGACCTCTGAGAACTGATTGGACCCCCTCCGGCCATGGGGGTAGAACATGGTCCAAGAGCTTTCCACCCTAAACTTCCATTACAGCACCATCTTCCGGCTCAGTGATACTTAAAGGCTCTGGCTGCACACCACTCAAAAATAGATTCCTAGCCAGGTGCGTTGGCTCATGCCTGTAATCCTAGCACTCTGGGAAGCCGAGACAGAAGGATCCCTTGAACTCAGGAGTTTGAGAACCACCTAAGCAAAAGCGAGACCCCCATCGTTACTAAAAATAGAAAAATTAGTCAGAGGTGGTGACAGGCACCTATAGTCCCTGCTACTCAGGAGGCTAAGGTAGGAGATTCACTTGAATCCAGGAGTTTAAGGTTGCTGTGAGCTAGGCTGATGCCACAGGCTGAGCAGCATCATGAGACTGTTCCCCAAAAGTAATAGTACAGATCCCTGAAATCCTCCCCAGACCATTCAAATTCAAATCTCTCAGGGTAGGGACCTGCATCATGTTTTTAAGTCCCCCAGATGACTGGGAAGGGCAGCCAGGTTTGAGAACCCCTGCTCTGACTGGCTATGGAGGAAAGGCAAGTCCCCTGAAACTGTTCCAAGCCTGATGCCAGGCAGAGGAGCTGTGGGGAGGGCTTTGGAGGAAATGACATGTTGCTTTACTTGAAAGATCAGTCTTGGCTCGGCGCCTGTGGCTCAAATGGCTAAGGCGCTAGCCATGTACACCCAAGGTGGTGGGTTCGAATCCAGCCGGGGCCCACCAAACAACGAGGACAGCTGCAACCAAAAAATAGCCGGGCGTTGTGGCGGGCGCCTGTGGTCCCAGCTACTTGGGAG